ATTAAGACTTTCTATAACTCTTGAGACACTTACCATCAGCTTCCTCTACTTCAAAATATCTGTAGTTGAAATGGATAGTAGGAGCATGAGGATTCTTGGGATGGATAACAGAGCTCACACCCATAGCAGAAAATGGCAATTTACCTAGAAAGTAAAACAGGGAAAAAATACATTCAATCACCAAACTTGAAACACACAAATTACCTCTAATGTGGTTTCTGAATCAATTTGCAAAAGATGCTTTCCAGTATGTCTCTTAGCCAGGCATGGTAGCCCATTCCTGTAATCCCAGTACTCAGAAGGCTGAAGCAGGAAGATCACTGTGAGTTTGAGGCCAGCCTGGGCTACATGGTGAGTTCAAGGCCAGCCTGGGCTACACAGTGTGAGCCTATCTCAAAAAAAAAAAAGAGAAAAATAAAAAAAAGATGTCTCTTAATATATATTTTATTTTCACAAAATAATTTTGGACATGCATGTCTGGTATGTGCATCTATTCAAATGACTTTATTTTAACAATAAAACTTGTGGAAAAAAAGAGTTGCAGCAATTATTAAAAACTGTTAAAATAATCTCAATTTACCATCTTTAGTCTTCAGAACTTTTCCTCTGCTTCTCATCTGTTTTGCTGCTTCTTCAGAAAGAGTCCCATGAACAACAGAAATGCTCACCCCAGCTTTTTCAAAAACATGTCCATCCTGAAGTACACAGCTGATGCCGCCGCCTCCTATTTACAGAAATGGAAATAAGGAGAGTGTAAGAGTACGCCAAAATGAAAACAATCATTACAAGAAAGTAGTAGAATTCAGTGGTATTTTCCTTATCTACTTCCCAAATATTCTACAGAAAATTTTTAAGTACAAAGAAATTAGATAACTACTTATCTTTATGATAGAAGACACTGACACTGAGCAACTACTAACCCTAAGCCACACTGCTAAACAAATATTTCCTCTACATTCTTACACAAGCACCTAGAATAAATCACCAGATTACACCCTCTCCCAGTACTATTATACACAATGGAACCCACAAAGTTATGTTATAAAAAACAAAACTATGGTTAAAAATAGGAGTGAGCAGAAAGCAAATTCTTTTATTGCTAAATTTAAGAGCTGCATACTGTAAGAAAATATGTTTTTTCTCAGTTTGCTGTTTGCCTTTTTAGTTTTCTTCACAGGCACTTAAAAGACAGTAGAAATTCAAACTTCTAAGGAATACAGAATCTTAAACTGAGGATCAGTATTCGTGTGTAAGCACTGGTACCAGTTCTCGCTTTAGGGCACTGGGATCATCACAGGCCACTGCTTACTGAAGGTTCATGTTTGGCTTGTTTTTCTAAAAGCTTTCAGGGCCTGATGGGGGACATAAAGTGATGTAGGGCAATCTCTGTACATTCCAGATCAGAAAACTGAGGTCTCAAAAGACAAAACATGGTCCGTTAAGATTATGCCCTTGGAAAAAGATTCAATTTCTCCAAATGCCATTCATTTTTCTAATAACCCCTCTAAGTACTTTACATTATTCACTTCATTTAAATCTCACACTATGCTTTTATACAGTATGTTTCATCTCACTTCATAAATGGGGAAAGAGACACAGAAAAGTTAAGTAACTTCTAAAAGTTATACAACTAGGCTCATACCTAAGGTTGGGACCTGGTTCAGTGGCCTGCAATGGAACACATAACGAGATAGAAAACACTAGGAAAATCAGACTGAACTTTATTTTATACAAATGTGAGAAAAATCACAGCTCAAAATCTGTTGGCGAGATGTGCTGTATTCGCAGCGAGGAAAAGTCAGAGACCCTTCACGTTTATGATCACTATGAGAAATCTCACCGTAGAGGCAACAACACGGTCACTAGTACGCGCCTTGTAAGAACTGGGATTTGCACTTAAGCATTCTGGCATTGAAAGGAAGTATTTCCTAACGTGACACCTGATAGATACACTGATTCAGCAACTGAAAAGCAACCAAATCTTTCCTGTGCAGTAACAAAGAGAAGTGGGGAGACTCACGACACAATACGACCCTCACATGGAGGAGGCTGGCAGATACTCATTACTGAGGAGCTGAGTTCCTTTTTCTGTCTCGCAAGGGAAACAAGCAAACAAAGGCACCTAACTAGTGAACGAAATGTGCGAGAAGTAACCACCTTTGGACGTACAAGCTTGTCGGCTGCAAATATTCCTCAGTGTTTCACGGAGTTACCAGTGTTCTCAGCGCCCAGCGCTTTCCCGACAAGAGGTCCGAATGCACACCTGCACGCGAGGGCTGCCGTCCGCTGCGGCCGTGCTCACCCGGCTCCTCCCAGCCGCGCAGACCCGCACCCCAGGTCCGAGCCCGCTCGCACGGCGCTCCCCGCCCGCTCACCTTCCTTCCGCTCCCAGCGGTCCACGCAGAAGCTGGCGCCGCCGTCCACCTGCGCCAGCGCGCGGCACACCTGGGCCTGCGTCTCGAGGATCAGCAGCTCCATCCTGGTCCGCACGTCGCCCGGCCGCCGCCGCAGCTCGCGCAGGTCGGTCACGGGC